AACCTTGAAAAGCCCCTATCTAATCATGACAACCCATCATATGTATCAAAACAAACAAATAAACAAACACAAAGGGTCATGCTAGTATGCTACAATATATGTGTTATATACCTTATGGTCCACATTACTGTTTATTATGCACTTTTGATGTGTTTGATTATGGGCATTAGGGCAGTGAGATTGGTAAATTGTTAAATTAAAGTTGATTGTTTTGTTATTATTTGAATATGTTACAAAGCAGTGTTGGTTATAATTCATTACGAGCAAAGCAATCTTTGGTTATGTTTTAAAATAATGTTAATTATGATTTAATGTGATTATGATCAATGGCTCAAATTTATTTATTTTTTAAAATTTTAACAGCTGAAACCGGTATGTATGCAGATTTTCTTTGAAATGTGTAAAGTAGAATTTCCTCGTGACAAAACCCAGCATAGCACGCAATCCCTCATCTTGCTTCCTACCCCCCACCAGTCCCTGAATCCTCAGCTAGTCCAGATTTATTAACTTAAATATCTATATTTAGAATGTGTTCTTTCCCAACCCCCCCACCCCCACCAAAAGTTGAGTGTTCATCTATATTCATAGAATTCCAAGATGAGCATTCTAAACTGTCATATAAGTTTTTTTTGACACTGCACTTTGAATCATGAAAACCCATGTCAAGAGAAGCAGAGTTACATACAAGACCAGAGTACTGTTTATTATACCTAGGAAAGTGAAACATGGCATGAAAAGCCATATATCCAAGAGGATGAGAGTTGATCTAAACCTTTCTTACATGTCTGCTATATATATAGATATATGAAGTTCAGGAAACAAGGGAATCAATGTACCTTTCCAAAAGATAAAAATATCTAAATCCCCTTCCATATTAATGCTTTCCCATTTCTAAAATAGCATTTGCATATTTTTAACAAGCAATTACTGTTTTTATTTCATTGATAGCGAAGCAGGGATCACAAGAAATGGCAAGAGTTCTTAGATAAACTAATAATTCATCTGAGATATACTGAAAGGAACTTCCAAAGACTTAAAAACTTAGTAGCAACCACAAGTCGACGAACTTACACACTACGGTTTTCTAGTATGCAAATGCTATTTTAGACACAGCTAAGACGTATAAAATTGAATGTCTAGTTGGAGTCAAAAGTCACCAAACAAAGACCTAAGAAGGATGCTAAGATAAGGTAACAATGTTTTGTTAACTTTCTGTCGATACTTCATCAATGATTTAGCCTCTATTTCTTCAATCCGAAAGCGTGCTGAATTTCAAATCCTGCTAAATTTGCATTGTTATACTGTACTCCAATTTCACATGAATTACAGCAAATAACATAAATAAATGGAATCAATCCAACGCAGAAATTTCAGTTTCTGCAAATTCACGAACAGTTAAGAAAGCACACATTGCATAAGCCAAATACATTACCCTCATTAGAGAGATATAAAATCAAGTCAATATGATATTGATTAAAGATTGTCATAGAAAAACATTAATTCTCATACTAAATCAGATTACTTTCAACCCAATCTATGTAACATTCTTAGCACCATCCAACCCCCCCCCCAAAAAAAAGAGCCACCCCCCCAAAAAAAAAAAAAAGAGCCACAATCCCCTAATCCAAACCCACCTCTCTATCTCAGTTACACACTGAGACGGGAACCAAACCCTTGTCTACATGGATGCCAAACCCAAACGGAGAATGTAAGGGCAAGTTATGATAGTAGGCATGACCCATCAGAATTGTTTTGATGCTTTGATATGGCTGACCTTAATCTCATAATATCCCAGAGCCACAATCCCCTAATCCAAACCCACCTCTCTATCTCAGTTACACACAGAGACGGAAACCAAACCCTCGTCTAAATGGATGCCAAACCCAAACTGAGAATGTAATGGCAAGTTATGATAGTAGGCATGGCCCATCAGAATTGTTTTGATGCTTTAATAAGGCTGACCTTAATCTCATAATATGATACACAGGGAAACTAATGCCTAGTCAGATTTTAACCATGAAAACTATTGCCGCTGCAATAACTAAATAAACATAAAGAGTTTCCTTGACGCCCAAATGCTCTTCTACGAGACAACAATTAAACTTTGGAACATTAATGAAATATAAAAAATAACAACTAATATACAAGTAGTAAAGTTTTTTTTTTGGGATAGTATACAAATAGTAAAGTTACATAACAATAAAGCATCAAATATTTTGGCTAACAATTCTGAAAACACCCACTTGTTAATTAATTAGGAATTTGTAATATTTGGACTGTAATATTCTTTTATTCGGGACTGTATATTTATTCGGACCCTCTGCGCGAGGGCACAACTGTAATAAGTGTGCGTGTGTGTGTTGTATGTCTTCCAACCCCCACGTCAGTCTCCCTTTTATTTATCCGCTTATGATGGTTAGATTAGGGCATATTTCAATTAGCATACAATATGACAGCATGTTTGCATTCATTCATCTGTATTGCATGCACCGGGCTCGGCGCATCATACTAACTGCATTGTACTTTCAATTCCAAATTGAATACATGATAGTTGTGACATTTCATATGCCATCTTAGAATAGCCGAGCCTGCTATAATTGCATTTTGCATGTGTTGCATTAGGCATTTCCAACCCCCCACCTCAACCCTTCTTCCCCCAGGACAGGCACCATACAAAGATCACTGAATTTCTAAAATGATCAGTTGCCAGATAACGGGAAGTACAACTACTATGGTGTTACATACACCTTTACTGAATAATTATCTAGAATAGCCTAACCTTACAGCTAGTAACTTGTAAGGCTCCAAACCAGGAGGGGGAAGACAATGCAGGTTTTTTTTTTTTTTTTTTTTTTTAAATTAATAAAATAAATTAAAAAATTAATAAAATAAAATGTTCAGATCATAATGATTTTTTTTTTTTTTTATAAAAATCAAAAAATTAATAAAAACCAATCTAACTTTTTAACTTCAAATTAAAAGTCAAAAAATTTTTTTAAAAAAATTAAATGTTAAGAATATAGGAACTGAACACAACCCAACTCATTTCTTGATCGTGAATTGTGTCCTATTTTATATTCAGGGCAAGTTTGGCATCTCTTTAAAAAGATAAAAAGTTAAAAAGTTATTTAAAAAGTCAAAAAGTTATTACTATTCACCAAAAGTCAACAATTACGGCTGCACAACTCCCAATTCTAATTTTCCCTCACAAACTAATTTTTACAATTTTTTATTACACATTTTTTCATAAAAAGTCAACAAGTTAACCCAAACATTCATATTTTCAACCTCAACTTTTTAGTCTAAAAAGACAAAAAGTGCACTTATTTAGGACACCCCAAACAACCCCTTAATAATCCATTGCAGAGAATATATGACTTAGTTGATTCATTACACAAGGGGCACAAATAATCTCCATTGCAGAGGATGTGGAGAAAACAATTTTCCGTACAAGGTATAGATATTATGAATTTTTAATCATGTCTTTCGGAGTTATAAATGCACATAATGGATTTGATGCATCATGTGTTCAAGGCTTATTTAGATGATTTTGTCTTGGCATTTGTTGATGATAATCTGATATACTCTAAGAGCAAGGAAAAATATGAATAACATTTGAGATTCATTCTTCAAATTTTGAGAAATAAAAAGTTATAATAGAAGGAATATGCATTCTAATTTATTAATTTAACTATGCTGAGCATGTAATTAGCAAGAATAACATTTAGTAGATCTATAGAAAAATTGAAGAAATTGTGAATTGATCAAAACCAATCTTTGGCAAGGCAACGCCATTAGCGAAGCTTGGACAACCCATAGGCAAGGTCAAGCAGCCTCTAGGCACGTCTCACACTAACACTAACATTGCCACGCCTTTGGCCAATGAAGGGCAGACAATGGCTCTCCAGAGTAGCCAAAGTCATGTTCCCTTGCAGAGACCATAGCATTGTAACACCCATTGGATAGTGGGGGCAGCCCATAGGCAAGCCCAACGAGCTTCTAGGCACATCCCAACCTAGCAATTGGCACTACCATGCCTCTTTGCCACAACCTGCTTGCAATCACCGAAGGGATACCTTTTATCAACCCTCTTAGATGATTAAAATGCCCACTAAATTCTGATAATTGGACATGAAAAGCCCAGGCATTCCGATTTCTTCTTTTTGTCAAAACTTCTGCTTCTTTATTTTATTTTATTTATTTTTCGGGCATAGATTAAAGAGTTTATAAGATAAATGTGCCATGGGAACACTGCCCATGTAGTATGTACACTTGAATGTATAAAAAGCAAAGGCCTATACACTCTTAATTCCAAGTTATCCACATAATCCAAAATAGACAAATATTAGTGAACATTACAGAAGACCTTTAATGAACAAATGTTCAGATTAAAAGAAAAGAAGAAGAATTGTTCAGGGTCTAAAAATTCTGATAATCCCACCTTATCGAGCAGAGCTCTTATTTGCTCAAAAGGCGAGCCAAAACAAGGAGATCTCCCAAGGTCAGATAAAATTGGTGAAACCAGCAATCCACAGAAGAACATGACAGAGGGGCAATTAATGATTTGTGGGGTGATCTGGTTGTAACTACAAAAATTGATAAGTATCATACAAAACCAAACCCTAATTATCACATAAGAAGTGCAATTTTTAACACATTGCAATGCAACTGCTGGAGATTTTTAATTCTAATTGGACTGAAAAGTTGATCAAGGCCCACCTAAAGAATCCCTAAATCAAAAGTAGTATCTAATCAAAGAGGGGTATCACTAAATTGGTGACAAAAAATTAATCATTTCGAACCTCTCATCATCATTCATTGTACACTACCATAATGCATGAACAAGAGAAGTAGAGTTTGGAGATGAATTCCTAATATCATGACAGGGATGTGGAAGACCCTGGAATCACAATCTCAGCAACTAAAGTCAAAGATCATTTGCATTTAGCTCCTCTAGTTTATTTAGAATCAAAGTTCACCAAAGAAGGACACTTTAAAACTGTTCAGTAAATTCAATCCATTAACGTTCTAAATTTTATGGAACACTTGGATTGATGATAATTTGAAAGCTATCAATTAAACACACATTACACACTTGGAATCCCATTCCATAATCAGAGACCTATATATAATTAAACAAATATATCAAAGAATCAAAGATTGTCATAAATAAATAAATTCAAGGAGGTGTTGTTATTCTCAATATAATTCGAGTCATTTTGGATCCGGTTAATGTAACATTCTTGGCACTAACAAACCTGGATTTCCGAAACAATTTCGCAACCTCTTTCACCTCCTCTTTCCCACACTCCTCCACCGCCACCACGCACACGCCTCCCACTCTCACCGTCCTCTCCATCTCCGCCGCGAACCTCTCCCGAAAAAGCGCCTCTTCCAAATGAGCACTGAACCCTAGATCAAACACCCCATCGAAAAACGGCAAGTTGTGAGGATCGGCTCGGCTAACAAGCGGCGGCGAGTCAACCAGCTCGACTCCGGTAACATCCCCGACGCCGATCTGTTTCAGAGCCATGACCTCGTGGCCGGGGCCGGCGGAGACGCAGAGGACTTTGGAGTGGTTGTGGAGGTGATTTAGGGTTTGGAGGTCGGTGAAGAAGGAAGAGAATGAGTGGAGCTTGTTGAGCCAGTCCTTGGTGGACCAGAGGCGCTTGTTCTTCTTGTCGATGGAGGTGAAAGCGCGGTGAGAGAAGTCGCAGGTGGACTTTGGGAACTTCTGGTGGGGTTTGGGGATGGAGCCTTGAGGGACGCAGGTTTCTGGGGTCTGGAGGAAGAGGAAGAGGAGGGTCATAGTGCCTATGGTCAGCGATGCGAATGATATTCTGTTCAGGAGGATCTGTATGTGTCTTTCCATTTGTTTATTTATTTTTATTTTTTTCTCTTACTGGGTTGGGGTTGGGGTTGTGTTTTAGAGAGAGGTTCGAATTGGGGTCTCCTCCATTGTTGATGAACTGTGAAGAAGAATAGGGTTTGAATGTGATGGATTGGACCTTCACGACGTCGCTTTGGAGAGGAATTCCTTGGGGTTTCTAGAGAGAGATTGCACTGGTGGTGGAATCCATTGTTGATCAACAGCTAAAGCACCAGATTCGTATGCATCGAGGAGGTTGATTTGATGATGATTGATGATGGGATTGGGAGCTCAACCCGCGTGTTTGGTTGCAGGGTTGTATTAATCTCCCTCACATGAGTACGCAAACAACTCTTGCGCTATTCTAACACTCTGTTTGGTTACGAGTTTAAGAATCCTCTTGCGTGTAAAACTATAAAATAAATCATTATTTTTTTTGTTATTTATTTTTAGTTTTGTCTCACTTTCATGATTTATTTTATGAGGAATTGACCAGTAAATCTCATTTTGTTATCATATACATAATGTGATCCTAATTGTTTTCTTTTAAACCGTTTAATCCTTTGGATTGTTTGTTTACTATTTTGCCATTAAAGTGTTAATTTGAGTTTGTAGACCCGCATGTATTTATGGGAAGGGGTGTGTGAGATTCACGTTCCAAAAAAAGGTAATAGTACTCTTTTTGGACGGTGTGGGTTACAGGCGCGTGATGTGGCGCGTGTATTTATGGGAAGGGGTGTGTGAGATTCACGTTCCAAAAAAAAGGTAATAGTACTCTTTTTGGACAGTGTGGGTTACAGGCACGTTATAAGGTGTGTGTATTTATGGGAAGGGGTGTGTGAGATTCACGTTCCAAAAAAAAGGTAATAGTACTCTTTCTGGACAGTGTGAATTACAGGCACGTGATGTGGGACGTGAAATAACTCCGCACAGAAACGGCACAAACAATACCCAGAAATCAACCATCTTCAACACCTCAATTATCGTGTGATCCTCTTTGATAACCGACGCTCTCCTCTCCACCGCCACTGCAGCCTCCGTCGCCGTTTTCTCTTTCTCCGGCATACCCAGCAACGGTTCAGTCACAACCCCCTCGAGGTCCGAATTTGATTCGGAATTAGATCGAATCCAATTCTGGGTTGCGATATACAGTGGGATTGAAATTAGAGAAGCTAAGAGGATTAGAAGGATGATTGCGAATGACTGAGAAATTAAACGATTGTGAGCTCCGATGACATCGAATAGTAAGAGATAGACTGCGACAACAACGGCGACGGCGTTGATGATTCCGAAGTACCAAGCTTCTTCTTTGTCTTCGCCGGCGGTAGAGGAATGTGGGATTTCGCGGAGAAAAAGAATGGTGGTGAGGCAGACGAGGAAGGGGACGATTGTTAGCATGAGAAGAAAAGTTGAAGGGTCGGAGGAGGACAAAGCTGTGCAGAGATCGGTGAATATGGAGGTGCTTAAACCCGCATACCCTTTTAGAATCTCTAAAACGGGACCTCTGTTTTTGTGGAAGTTTCGAATGCAGGTCACCAGCACTGTAGTGTTCATCCGTGTTCAAAACATGAGATCCAAATTACCAAACGTGGATCAACCAATATCCCACAAGATCTGCATTCAATCCCAATATACACCTCTATAGAAAAAAAACAAAAAAGATGGCAAACTTGTCCACACACATATCACATAAATTTAAAATGGGACCTGACTGTCCACAAAACATGCCAAACAGGACTTGTCAATCCAAGAGAATAAATGTGGGACCAAATGGAGTAATAGATTGGTAAATAGGACTTTTTGATAATTTCCCCTTACTCGACCACCCCTTTTGTTTACGTTTACAATTTCATTTTTGTTTCCAGATATGATGCTTTGAGTGAGAATTGCAATTTCCCACGTTCTGTCTCACGAAGGGTTATTTTGAGAAGATAATTAAAAGTTATATTTAAATTTTAACTCATTTTGCATCATATTATTTCTCATCATTTTTGCACATTTTTTATAAATAAAAAAAAATTAAAAAAATCAACTTTTAAGCATTTTTCCAAAATTACCAGAAATGTAATCTCCACCAACACCAAGCATGGTCCATGATTGTATTTGAATTTACCAATATAGGGTACATTTTTACAATCCAATATAATATGCTTCATATCTCGCATCGCCCAAATAAATTAGCAAACCCAATACAAACGAACTACCAAATTTCAGACCAATATATAGAACAATACAATACCAATTCATAAAGAACTAACCTAAAAACATTATCCTGTAACTACACAAACAAATACACTAACATATATGGTATCACTAAAATCAGTGCGAGTTCCAAACGAATTTGAGTCGCACATTAATTATTCATTACACTCTTCTGGGCATTGATGGTATCAATTACCAAGTTGCCATCCTCGTTTTCTTCGTCTCTTTTCGTCCATGATCCAAGATTCACAACATCACAGGGGAATGATAGCGAATCAGGATCCCTTCCTTGCATTTCTTCCTTGCATTTCCTACTTGCAAGGCCATTGGGCCCACTTTTAGGCTCAATTTTGATAATCCGAACCGTTCATATTTTAAGATTTTTTCAGTATATCATACCTGTAAAAAATCAAGTTGATCGGATATCAGAAAGCATGTGTTGGGAAAACTCGAACTAAAAACTATTTTTTCTTAAAGAATTTAATAAACAGTTTTCCGAACACATGCTTTCTGATATCCGATCAATTTAATTTTTTTTACAGATATGATATACTAAACAAATCTTAAAATATGAACAGTTCGGATTATCAAAGTTGGACCTAAGAGTGGGCCCAATGGCTCTGCAAGTAGGAAATGCAAGGAGGAAATGCAATGAGGGGATCTTGATTCGAATAACAGCAACATATAACAGTCGCTAACTTCCAAGTACCTTAGTGAGGGCATGACACCCTGCACCCTACTCCACTCCACCTGCAATCTAGGCAAGAACTTCAAACACAGCCCTTCAACTTTCCATGAATTCCCATCATCACTGCTCCAAAACAACGGACTCATATCAACAAGCCTCGCATACTCAAGGCAAAGATATTGTAATTCAGGAAGTGAATTAGGGTTTATCCAATGCAGTGTAGCTTCACCATGATAATGCCCAAAGTACAGCTCTTCAAGATGTGGAGGGGGGGTGAGCTTGTTGAGCTTCTCTAGAATATTCATGTCCTCGCAATTTTCAGCATTGATCAATAACACCCTCAGTTTTTACAGATCTGCCAGTGCTTCAAGCTCCTTGTCCTCAATTGTGCTTTCTTGGTTTATGTCTAAATGTAACACTCAAAGGTCAATGAAATTCTTAAGTTCGCCAAAGTGACAGCTTTTGGTGTGTGTAAGACTTGCCGGTTTGAATCCATAGAGTTCTTGAAGATTAGAGAGGCTTGAAATCCCCTGTGGTAAGTACTTGAGAGCCGGACAATTCCCCAAATCCAAAACAGTGAGCTTGTGTAGTGTCGTGATCGATGCAGGCAATTTCTGTAATCTAATACATTCTACTAGGATCAAAATCTGGAGGTTCAAAAGCTTTCCAATCGAGTTTGGCACTTCAAGTAGGCTTGCAACGTCACGTAGGTTCAAACAAGCGAGGCGTTTCAAGGAACTAATCCAACCCCATAAATCATATTCACAAATGTTTTCCAATTTAACATGTGAAAGGTCTAAGACCCTAAGAGACAGTACTTTTGCTAAACCAGAATTCCTTTTAAGTCTAATCGATCAACTGTCCATAAGTAATAGAGCTCTTATCTTTGAATTATTTTCCAGGGAATGAAATTTCATTTCATTTGTAACGCCCAAATGCCGAGAATCCATTGTGGGTATCTGTCTGCCTCCATCATCAAAGCAGCTGAATTCCTCTTCCCTCACAATCCTAATTGTCAAGTCTCTAACCATGTCATGCATTTTGCAGCTATAAACTCTCCCATCGTAACTCCTCCTTCGCATGACTTCAACGAGGCATCTACCAATTAGTTCTGATAGAAACCTATAAGCTATTTCTATAACGGTTTCTGATCTCCTCTTGTGCATGAAACCTTCCCCTATCCACCACCGAACCAACTACTCAACATTTATTTCATGGTCTTGGGGATAAATTGAGAAACATAGCATGCAATGCTTGAGATGAGCAGGGAGTTCATCATAGCTCAGCTGCAAAGAAGCCAGTACAAAGCCATTCCCTTCTGTTGCCAATTTTTTGTGGAAATTATCGTATAGGCATTTCCACTCACAGAAAGATGTTTTCGAGCACAATAACCCTCCTGTTGCCTCGTTAGTGAGTGGAAGACCTTGGCATTTTTTCACAATTTCCTTCCCTAATCCTTCTATTTGAAGATTCTTACATATCCCTTTTGTTTCCATGAAAACCACTTTGCAGAACAAAGACCAACTCTCTTCCTCATCTAGAAGCTTTAGCTAGTGAATTCGTGCATCCACAACTCCCATATTCTTTATAACTTCCTCATTCCTTGTTGTGATTATGATGCAACTGCTATGGCCCAGTGTCTTTGGTAGCCCACTAGAGATCCGATCCCACCAACCATTGGCAGTGCTCCACACATCATCCATGACAATCAAGTACGAATTGTGAGAAAGTAGTTGGTGAATTTTGTGCAACATTTCGCTTATATCAGATCCACTATCATCTTCTTTAACCTGTCTCAATATGCTTTTTGTACAAGCACGAAATAATTTTCTCGTATAATCCTGTTGATTGAGTTTGTACTCCAAACGTCGTCACTTTACTACCTGAAAACACAAACGTGAGCTAACCGGCGAGTGTGTGCCGAAAACCTCTCTGATGCTTAAGTCAACAAATAGACAATAAGCACAAAAGTCTTGTATTAGTGAGTAAGAATTGTGATACCTGTACATAGGTCCTGCTATGAGCTTTTATGGATTATACCTGGCACAATCCTAGTAGGATTCCAACTCTCCTTATAAGAGTCCTCTTAGGAATCACACTCCTAGTGAATAATGTCCATAACACTCTACTCATTGCTAGCCAAGTGAGATGGCTTAAAACCTCCTTACCTCGGTTTGGTAACAGCTCAACCGAGCTAGCATGGTCGCGCCTGTAACAAGCCCGCGGGGGACCTCGCTACAGCTCGGACTCGACTTTGTCAGCCACGGTTCTAAATCTGAACCAAAGAGTCCAAATCCAGCAAATCGTTTTTGAGAAAACAGATTTTTGAAAGAAGTGCCAAACATGGACTGCTTTGCCAGATACAGAGTCGCCACCTAAATATTTTTTTTAATGGGAAATTTAGGAAACCCTGACTCGGTGCCAAAAGGCCACGTGTCCGTCATCACCAA